AATGTTTACATTGAATAAGAACATCGTACATAAATTAGAATTTACTCAAAGAAAATGTGAAATTCAAACATAAGACCTCGTAAAAATTATATACCTAAGTTATACCTTAAACAAGCACAACACATAATACAGCAGATAACGATAATAACAAGGAAGGGAATACAACTTTTTATTGGTCTGAAAGACCTCTTGATGCTAATTATCATCATCAATCAGCCAATCGCGTCCACTGCTGAACATAGGCCTCCCTCAGTTCTGTCCAGTGTTCTCTACACTGGGCCGCTTATAGCCAGTTTCCCGCTACAAGTTTTATATCATCGGTCCATCTAGTCGATGGTCGTCCTCGGCTTCTTTTATAGTTCCTGGGCCTCCATTCCATAATACGTCTTGTCCACCGTCCATCTTTTCCTCTGGCTAATTGCCCTGCCCAGTTTCACTTAAGCGACGTGATTCTTTCGATGATGTCTTGAACTCCTGATCTTTGCCTAATTTGTTGGTTTGTTATATGGTCTCGAAGGCCCACGTTCAGCATTGCACGTTCCATGGCTCGTTGTGCAACTCTAAGTTTATTCGCAGATTTTTGCGTGAGTGTTAAAGTCTCTGCTTGATAAGTTTGTACAGGTAAAACACATTGGTTATAAACCTTTCGCTTGAGACACATGAGAATTAAACTTTTCAGTATATGGCTTAATTTGCCAAATGCTGCCCAAGGTAGGCCTATTCGCCTCTGTATTTCATGTGTTTGATTTTCTTTGCTTATTTTGATTTCGTGTCCCAGATATTTGTAAGTGTCTGTTTGTTGTATGGTATTATTGTCAATAGTTATATTTCCTCTCATTACGAGATTTGTTATAAGTTTAGTTTTCTGAAAGTTTATCTTTAATCCTGCTCTTTCAGACAGACTTTTAAGCGAATGCATCATAGAAACTGTATCTTGTAAATTATTTTAATTAATTGCGATTAATACAACATCATCTGCAAATCTTAGGTGATTTAATCTTTCTCCATCTATATTGATGCCCATATCTTGCCACTGAGTGCTCTTAAAAATATCGACTCTAGAGCTGCCGTGAACAATTTTGGTGAAATATTGTCTCCTTGTCTGACTCCTCGACCTAAGCTGAATTTTTCTGTGTCTTCGTGTAGTCGTATACTTAATATAGCGTTCTTGTAGATGTTTTTGATTAGTGTCGTGTACCTGTAATCAATTCGGCTTTGATTTAGGGCTTCCAGTATTGTTTCAAACTCTACAGAATCAAAAGCCTTCTCGTAATCGACAAATGCAAGAACCAGTGGTATGTTGTACTCGATGCACTTTTCTATTAAGATCTTTATGGTATGCAAATGGTTATTTGTGCCATATCCTGCCCTGAAGCCTGCCTGTTCTTTGGGCTGATAGAAATCAAGGTTAGGTGTTAGCCTCTTTGTTAAGATTTTCATAAAGAGTTTGTACATATGTGTCAAGAGGCTGATGGGTCTGTAATTTTCTAATTTAGTAATATCTTTACTTATTACTTTAGTAATATTTAGTCTTTACTCGTGTCGGGAAATTGTCTTGTGGTCTTTGGCTGGTGTAGAGGTCTTTATAAAACTCTCTGATTATTTTCAGAATGTTTTGTTTATCTGTTGTTGCCTTTCCGTCTTTATCTCTCAGCTTGTATATTTCTTTTTTACTGTGAGTTTTCTTTTCATTATCTTTAAACCTTTGTTATCTTCTACTGTTTGAGTAATTTCATTAGTATTATATCTTTTTACATCTTTTCTAATTTCCACTGAAATTTTTTATTTTGTTTTTTATATTCTTCTTTTTTTCCCTTTTTGTTGTCGCTTAGGTTTCGTCGTATTTTCATGAGAGCTTTTATATTTTTGCTAGTCTTCTCACTTTTGGTGTAATTTTTTTTGCAAAATTTGAGTTGTGCAGTTCTAACCGAGTCTGTTATTAATTTATTGTAATCGTCGATCCTTAGAGGTTTGGGATTATTACTCTGTAAAGTTTCGGCTATATTTTTTATGTATGCTTTTGAATGATTTGGTGATTTCCAAACTATGCATTTGCAACTGTTTAGCAGCTTTGCTCTTTCTTTTTGTAGATTTATCGTTACTCTAGCTCTTACTGGTCTGTGGTCGCTTCCTACTGATAGTTTATTGAGTGCAGTGAGATCTTGAATAGTTTGCGTTTTGTCTGTTATTATATAATCATATTCGCTCTTAGTTCTTCCGTCTGGACTAGCACACGTCCATTTTCTATTCTGTTTATTCTTAAAAAAGGTGTTCATTGCATACAGTTTGTGTTACAGTAGAAAGTTGGTAAGCATTTCGCCTCTTTCGTTTCTTACTCCGATGCTAATAGTTAGGGAATATAAAATCAGCCAAATGTCTTCGGTGCGCCGGCTTGGCTGGATAGCTGGATAGATTGCATCCCTAATGTCTAATTTGTCATTACTCTGGTACAAAAATCAGGCAGAATTTGACCGGTGGCATGGGTTATGTTTAAAGACCACTGTGGTTTATTGGCATGTACATAACATAAAACGGTAAAACATCAAAGATTGTTTACATCGTTTGCATCGTTTACATCAAAGATTGTTACAAAAATTCAAATGGTTTCTAGGTTATATTATGGCCAATTAGATTATCAAAAATTAAGGATCCTTGTTAATGAAAATTGGACGATAAAGATCTACGAATAATTACAAATCTATACTGGCATCAAGTGGCAAGAATAAAGGTTGAACAAGAACTGTCGGATGAAATAAATATAAAAAGAGGAGTGAGAGAAGGCTGTATATTGTCGCCTTTACTTTTTAACTTATATTCGGAGGAAATATTTAAGGAAGCCTTAATGGAGACAACCGAAGGTATTATTGTGAATGGAGTAACCGTCAACAATATTAGATATGCCGACGATACCTTAGTCCTTGCCAATTGCGGAGAAGACGTTCAAAATCTAATGAACAAAATAAAACAGACGTGTGACCAGTATGGACTAAAACTCAACGTTAAGAAAACTAAATATATGATAGTTAGCAAACAAAATTATATACATGATGACGGTATAAAAGTCGGAGATGCCACACTGGACAGAGTAGAGAAACTCGTGTATCTCGGCAGTAATATCAATGAGAGCTGGGATCCAACCGCAGAAATTAAAAGCCGAATAGAACAAGCCCGAGCTGCCTTTGTAAAAATGAGAAACGTACTTTGCAGTCATGATCTTAGCATTGACCTTAGAGTTCGTATGGTATCTTGCTACATCTTTCCTGTCCTGCTGTATGGAGTAGAAGCGTGGACCCTAACTGAGGCTATGCTTAAACGCTTGACAGCCTTTGAGATGTGGGTATACAGACGACTACTGAAAATAAGCTGGGTCGACAGAGTTAGAAATAAGGAGGTCCTTAGACGGCTGAACCAAACAGCACAACTGGTCAATATAATAAAGAAACGCAAGCTGGAATACTTCGGTCATATTATGAGACACCCTGAAAAATATGATCTTTTACATCTGATTATTCAGGGAAAGATCCAAGGTAATCGTGGTCCTGGTAGAAGAAGAACATCATGGCTGAAAAATCTAAGGCAATGGTATGGAAAATCAACTACATCATTATTTAGAGCTGCTGTCAATAAAGTCACGATAGCGAATATGGTAGCCAACATGATATCCAACGATCGATAACGGTCATGGAACTAGAAGAAGAAGTTGATGAAAACATAATAAAATTTAACCTTATATATGAAATATCGTTTCTACATATTAATCAAATTAAAATTGTCATAACAAAAAAAAACAAATTAAAGCCTGCTGTCAGGTATCACATTTAATTTTGATGACAAAGAACAAAAGTATTAAAAGCATAACCATACATATTATAATTTTTTAATTTGTTATGAAAGCAATTATTACTTTATCCAAAAAATATCTGTCTTTACTTTGAAAAATTAATATATTGAATTGTTACCTTAATGTTTTTTTTATACAAACACTTTGAACCTTTACATCTCTGGGAAGCTACTCGGACAAAACTTTCAAAACTGGAAGGCAGCAACCATCAGGAACTAGTTCTTCACTAAAGGGCAAAACGATTGGAACAGGAACTTGGTGGAAGAATCAAACCGACTACGGGGACATCCTATATTATACTTCTTAGAAGCTTCCGGTATTTATTCAAATCTGATAGTATTATCATTGACCGGTCCTAAGACATTTCAAAAGAAATTGAATCCTCTTTGATTCAAAAATGGCCTAACACTTCACATCCGCAAAAAGCGTCTACCACCGTTTCAAATAGGTTCTTGGACTCACATTGTAGCACGTCTGCTCTGCTTCAAATCTAATCGTCGACTCTGTTTCAAATCTTTGATTCAATTGTCACATGTCTGCCCCGTTTCAAATTTAATCGTCGACTCCTTTCTGCGTTACATTTTACAAATTCAAAGCCAAAAAATTTCCCTTCTGTCTTACAGCTAGCCTGTCGTCCACAAACTTAAAACAAACAATCTTCCCCTTGTTATTTGTTCCTAACGATGAAAGACAAATAAAACCTTTTTTTTATCAGGGTCCATCATAAATTTACATAATACAAATTAACAAAATAGCACGTGTTTAAACCGGAGTTCTACCTGACTTTGTAACAAAAGGTTCGATATATGAATCTAAACACAGACAAAAAACATCTATATTTACTTTTGAATCGGTAGAAATATACGTATTATTGATTATTCTAACCGGAATATTAGGGGGACTTCATTTAACATAATACCTCTTTGGCGAAAAAAAAAAACTGTTGTTTCACCTAACATTGCAACACAGAGATAAAAACATATTTCCAGCGTTAATACGCATTTAAAAATCTCGTCAAAAAAAACTTGAAATATTATTTTGATTGTTTTCTTTGGTAAAAACAACAGGAGCGTACTACAGAAATCTTTTATATACACATTAAATAAAAAACGCTACATGCTTAATAAATAACGTAAAATATTATGTATGTTATTTTTAGCTACCGCAAATTGGCAGAAATCAAGGACACTTCCGCAAAGGTCTCAAATACGCTGCAGTGAGAGAGAAAGTGGTATATTTTTAATAATTTTTACTTTCAATACTTTTTGCTCTTTTATTGATCTATTTCTTAACTAGTACTAGGTATGTTAAGTAGTTAATCATAAATAATAAATCAATTTAACTAACAAATTTTAAGTACCATGAAAATTCCTTATTATAAACGTATATTTGCTTTTAGCATGTTTTAGAAGAAAACAACAGAACCAACCCTGCTCTATGAACAAATTAAGTAAGTTATTCATATGCTATTATTAGCCTTACTTTACTATCTTTGCGCCTTTGTACATATCGGACGTTTTTCATATTTGCTTTAATGACCACATTAATGTAAACAGGTTGACTGCCCTTCGGTTGTATACGACCGACAATTCAATAAGTACTTAATGCCACGACGGTCGCATACGACCGATTTGATATGGTCTATAATATAGTTCCTGTTTTGTCAGAGGTCGTGTTGAGAAGCGGAGTTATTGTAGTATTCAACCTCCGTGGGATACAGTCGTCACATATACATATCAGTTTTCATTTTAACTGAATGGGGAAGAGTGAAATGATGTCGAAATTTTGACATATGTTTATTTCGAGTTAAAAATATAGAATTGTAAAAAATATCCTTCTTTTTCGAGTTCCGTTTCCCTACGAAGGTTGGCAATCATAATGGCTATTTTTATTTTTGAACTTTCTGCTCTAAATAAATCAATCGATCTGCGTTGATACCAATCTATTGTATTGTATATTCTTCAACCATGGGTTCTGCCTTCGGCCAACAGATCTTCCTTGAATCTTTTCCTGTATTATGAGTCTCAAAATTTCATATTTTGGTCCCCTCATCACGTGGCCTAGATATTCCAGTTTTCTGGTTTGTATAGTGGTGATTAACTATGTTTCTTTACCAACCCTCTCTAGTACTTGTTTATTTGTAATTCTATCAGTCTATTTTATTTTTATTACTCTGCGGTATAACCAGAGTTATTGCAAAGAATTGCTTTTTTTTAAGTCCAAGTCTCAGTTACATATAATAATATTGAAAATATATAACAGCGAATGGTACGTAGTCTGATCTCTAAATTTAGATTTTTGTACGTTAGGAGTGGCTAAATGCTGATCTGGCAATCTCTATTCGCCCGTTTAGTTCTGCAGTATGATCATTGGTTTCATTGGTTATGAACCGTTCCGAAGTGCTCATATTTTTCTACTTGTTCTATCACGTTACCATTAATTGTCAATAGTTGATGTATATTTTGTGGTCTTTTTGTAATTATCATGTACTTCGTTTTTTTATCGTTTATAGTAATTCCCATCTCAGCACTATTCATATTTAAGCTCTCGATAAAATGTTGTACCTTTTTTTCTATACTCGTTGCTATGATCACAGTGTCATCTGCAAATCGTAAGCTGTTAATTAATTTTCCGTTAACGGTAACTACCTCTTTAATATTATTGAGCGTTTTTTGGAAAATTTCTTCAGATTATAAGTTAAACAAAAGTGGCGATAAAACACATCCCTGTCTAACTCCTCTACAGATCTTCATTTCTTCTGAAAGTTGCGCATCCATTTATACTATGACAATTTGGATCCAATATAATTTTAGCACTCTATTTATGATTTTACTGTCAATGCGCTTATTTATAGGTATTGAAATTAGTTTTTTATATCTTACTTTGTAAAATTTTTTATAATTAATATATTAAATTATTTTTAATTCCTTTTAACCCCGTGATGATACGCTGATGGTCGTGTTTACGATCAGAAATTTTAATTGGGAAAATACCGAAATATCACTGAAGAATCTACCTACCTATTTATTTAAAGACGTCGGTTTGGCTAATTCTTAGGTTATCCTTTTCCGGGCTCTTTTTCATAAATTCAATTACTATTACCTAAATACCTTAAACTTCCCGATGTCGTTAGAATCTTACCTTCCCAGTAATAGATACAGGCTGGCCTACGATTTTTAAGTGAGAGATATCCCTTCTTTTTTTTGGTGGTGAGTTTGGAAAATTTTTGAAAAGAAAAACTTACTTCTAGTGGGGCGATCATTGAGTGAGGTCGCTTGCCTAAAATTACCGTCTCTTACCGTCCCTGTGCATTTTTTTCTCTAAGTATATATACACTTTATATTTGAGTTTTCTTTTCTTATACTATATTAGATTATATATAGTTCTAAAGTACCTTTAATGTTAATTAAAGTCAGTGTTGAATACAAGTAAAGTATTAAGTACAGTATATAGCTTCAGTGAAGTACCTAGTGCCGCAGTCGTCAAGATTTACTGTAAGTAATCATTCTCTTCAAATTATTTGTGCGAGTAATATGGTATGGTATTATATCATTTGCCATTATCTGGACGTATCTAAAGTTCTTCCATGTCTTCACCTGTAGATTGCTGATTTTTGCATTTAATTTAAAGAACATTTCAACAGATTCAGGAAATTTCAATAAGTAACAATTATGAACATTTAGGTCTCAGTTTCTCATTAAATATTAGTGCAAGATAGTTAATCCACTTAACCAAGTGCAGTTTGGTTCAATTCTTATGTTTTCATTTCGGTCACCTTTTTGTATTTTTGTAAATTTAGAATTGATTAGTTTTTGTTATCTTTTGTGTTGGTTATAACTTTCATTCATTTTTTTGCTGTAATATCGCGAGATACCCAAAAACTTTATTTGTACATGATTGTATTATATATCTTTGTAAAGTTATTTTCTAATTATGTTACTGCTTATTTTTATATGTATACCACCATTTTATAATTGTTGTTGTACTTTTATTACTTGTGTTGCATTCAGCAGCGACATAATTTTGTTGTTGAATATATTGTTATTGTTTTATGTATGTATTTTATTTGTCGGCTCCTAACAAGTTCCCTGATAAAATAGTAACTCTGAATATTTGCTTTTTACCTTTAATTATTATTATGCCTTTGACCAGTAGAAAGATCAGGCTGATAAGTGTAATCAGTGATCAGGTAAGTAAGTGTAATACCTAATATATTTATTATTTGTTTATATAGTGTGTTGACCAAATTTATTTGATAATTAACTGTTGGTATCTTTCCTTGGGTTTGATCTCTGAACCTAAATATCTTACCTTATCTCTTTTCTTTTCTGAGGTTTCTTAATTTTCTCCTTAACCCCAAAAAATTGAGTGGAACCCCGTTTCTATCTTATCGTATCTTTGGTAATTTTACCCAATAATCTTTTTGTTTATTTCTGTATCTTTTCTAATATCTTTTATCCTATCTTTACTTACTTCATATGTTGGACCCATTCTCGATTCCCAAAGCTAGTTTCCAACCCACGACTCGCTCTCCACCAACTATTTGGCTGCCGTCCGCAGTGTCTCCATTTGTGACCTTTCTAGCACCATCCAAAAAAAGGTTTCCGAGGTTACAACTTTATTAAAAGCTTTTTTATAGTCAAAAAAGTACAAGTGTAGATCTACGTTTACATACCGACATCGCTGAATCAATATGTTGATGGCAAATAATCCTTCTCGAGTACCCATTCCATTTCGAAACCAGAACTGCGTCTCGCTAATATTCTGCTTTAGCCTTTCGTATATACTCTTATGTATTACTTTCAGCAGTACTTTTAAAGTATGACTCATGAGACTCAGTGTTTGATAATCAGAGCACTCTTTTGCTGTTTGTTTTTTAGGGATGGTTATAAATGCTGACTTTAGCCACTCTTGTTGTATTATTCCCGTATCGTACACCGTGTTGAATAAATCTGCCAATATTTCCAAGTTATCCTCTTTTACTAGTTTCAATAGTTCTACTGGTATTTTATCTAATTTAGCTGCCTTATTGTCTTTAAAGTTTTTGATAGTATATTTGATTTCATCTATCGTGATCTTCTCTCTCTCTCTCTCTCTCTCTCTCTCTCTCTCTCTCTCTCTCTCTCTCTCTCTCTCTCTCTCTCTCTCTCTCTCTCTCTCTCTCTCTCTCTCTCTCTCTCTCTCTCTCTCTCTCTCTCTCTCTCTCTCTCTCTCTCTCTCTCTCTCTCTCTCTCTCTCTCTCTCTCTCTCTCTCTCTCTCTCTCTCTCTCTCTCTCTCTCTCTCTCTCTCTCTCTCTCTCTCTCTCTCTCTCTCTCTCTCTCTCTCTCTCTCTCTCTCTCTCTCTCTCTCTCTCTCTCTCTCTCTCTCTCTCTCTCTCTCTCTCTCTCTCTCTCTCTCTCTCTCTCTCTCTCTCTCTCTCTCTCTCTCTCTCTCTCTCTCTCTCTCTCTCTCTCTCTCTCTCTCTCTCTCTCTCTCTCTCTCTCTCTCTAAAGGATTTAATTCTCGTATTTTCTCAATTCACCTCTCTCGTTTTAAAAAGTCCTCTAAAGTATTCCTCCCATCCTCTTAATTTCTCTGGTAAGTCTATTAGTAGCACTTCCTTTTTGTCTGTTATGTGTCCTTGCTGTCTATTTAATTTAGTCATATTACAGTCACTTTTTTGTGCATATTTCTCTTATCACATTGTGTTTCTAGTTCTTCTAACTCTTTACATTGTTTCATCAAATATATTTCCTTAGCTGTTTTAATTTTTTAATTAAATATTCGTTGTACTTATTTATACTATGTAGATTTTTTCTTTATTTTTTCTTTTTTCTTGCATCTGTAATAGTATTTCTTCTGTCATCCACTGTTTTTTAGCCTCTGACCTATGTTGTATCAAACTTTCTTGAGCTGGTTTTATTAATATTCATTATAAACTAAAAGGGGTACAAGGGTACATAAAAAGTATAGGAACATGAAAGAAATTAAAAATTATCGGTCATTTGAAGTGTTTGTTAACACAATCTAAACAAAGGTGTGGTTGACCTTCACAAATTTCACAGAAAGTTACTACTTTTTTGACTCGATTTTATGTTATGTTCCCCAAATCTTCTCTTTATAAGAACCTTTACAGCATTTCTTCATCCTATCATATGGTTCTTCCTTTTTTACCAAAGTATGAGTTTACATCAATCTCCTTGTAGTTTGTATTTGGTGTTGTTCCCTTTCGGAATCATTATGTGACTCAATGTTCTCTTTATAAGTTAAGAGCGCCTTTATTACATGCTCTCTAAATTCAGTTATTTTCATCTTTTTATCGGCTAGTTGGTTAAAAATAATGTGAGAATTTACGAGTAATGTATCAAGAAGAAATTACAGAGCGAGCTTTCTGTACCATTTCAGTGACTTTCGTAGAGGTGAATTATAACTTGCCATCTGACTGGTCTGACTGGTCAATTGAGGACTTT